GCACCCACGGGCGAAGGGGCGGCAGCGCAATCAGGAACCATCCCGGAGCACACAGGAACAGGCAAGTCCACCCGTAGTGACTCCCCACACGGAACCGCAGTCGCAGACACAGAAGATTGGGAAGACCCAGCGACCTCAGGCGCCGGTGCCGCACCCGAGCGTTCGGCGGCCGATGACGGGGGCCTGGATACCAAAGTCGCCCGTAACTCGCGAGGCACACCACCGGTCCGGCCAGCAGCGGACTCACCCGATCGAGAAGGCTGCACTCTTCGCCCACTCCAGGCCGGCGGATCACCAGCAGAAAGGCCTTGAGGCACCTCTGATCCACCAACATCATGCAAATCACAATTTCCAAAATTCTTGCAGCGCCCAACTTGACCTGGGTAGCAATTGAAACAGCATCGTCCATCCCTATTGCACGAACATGCTCCGCACGTTCCAGTTTTCTTGCTGCAGGAGCAACAGGGCCCAGCCGACGCCCCACGCCGTGACATGCCATGCAGCCTGCAGCACGGGCGAAGAGACGCGAGGTGTGAAGAGCACCTCGCATGTCACTCGCCACAGACCATGTGGGAAAACACTCACTGTGACTCAGCCGCGAAGCACAACACAGCAAGCCATCTCACCCACGGCCCAAAGGCGAAGGCACCGAAACTACAGCATAATGGCCGGTTCGCCAGGCAATACGACACCAGCTGGATGTAGGAATAGCAGACTGGGCAACTCCACAGCGGTAAAACCTACTGGAGCCGACTCCTGAAACCTAGACGAAAGTAATGACGTAGGATAAAAAACCGGTTGACCTGGACAGTGCATAAAACAATTAAAAAACTGCGGAGGAGCAAAATCTCCATCCGCACTCTATGAGCCGCACTACTACTACTACTACCACCACTACTACTACTACTACTACTACTACTACTACTACTACTACTACTACTACTACTACTACTACTACTACTACTACTACTACTACTACTACTACTACTACTACTACTACTACTACTACTACTACTACTACTACTACTACTACTACTACTACTACTACTACTACTACTACTACTACTACTACTACTACTACTACTACTACTACTACTACTACTACTACTACTACTACTACTACTACTACTACTACTACTACTACTACTACTACTACTACTACTACTACTACTACTACTACTACTACTACTACTACTACTACTACTACTACTACTACTACTACTACTACTACTACTACTACTACTACTACTACTACTACTACTACTACTACTACTACTACTACTACTACTACTACTACTACTACTACTACTACTACTACTACTACTACTACTACTACTACTACTACTACTACTACTACTACTACTACTACTACTACTACTACTACTACTACTACTACTACTACTACTACTACTACTACTACTACTACTACTACTACTACTACTACTACTACTACTACTACTACTACTACTACTACTACTACTACTACTACTACTACTACTACTACTACTACTACTACTACTACTACTACTACTACTACTACTACTACTACTACTACTACTACTACTACTACTACTACTACTACTACTACTACTACTACTACTACTACTACTACTACTACTACTACTACTACTACTACTACTACTACTACTACTACTACTACTACTACTACTACTACTACTACTACTACTACTACTACTACTACTACTACTACTACTACTACTACTACTACTACTACTACTACTACTACTACTACTACTACTACTACTACTACTACTACTACTACTACTACTACTACTACTACTACTACTACTACTACTACTACTACTACTACTACTACTACTACTACTACTACTACTACTACTACTACTACTACTACTACTACTACTACTACTACTACTACTACTACTACTACTACTACTACTACTACTACTACTACTACTACTACTACTACTACTACTACTACTACTACTACTACTACTACTACTACTACTACTACTACTACTACTACTACTACTACTACTACTACTACTACTACTACTACTACTACTACTACTACTACTACTACTACTACTACTACTACTACTACTACTACTACTACTACTACTACTACTACTACTACTACTACTACTACTACTACTACTACTACTACTACTACTACTACTACTACTACTACTACTACTACTACTACTACTACTACTACTACTACTACTACTACTACTACTACTACTACTACTACTACTACTACTACTACTACTACTACTACTACTACTACTACTACTACTACTACTACTACTACTACTACTACTACTACTACTACTACTACTACTACTACTACTACTACTACTACTACTACTACTACTACTACTACTACTACTACTACTACTACTACTACTACTACTACTACTACTACTACTACTACTACTACTACTACTACTACTACTACTACTACTACTACTACTACTACTACTACTACTACTACTACTACTACTACTACTACTACTACTACTACTACTACTACTACTACTACTACTACTACTACTACTACTACTACTACTACTACTACTACTACTACTACTACTACTACTACTACTACTACTACTACTACTACTACTACTACTACTACTACTACTACTACTACTACTACTACTACTACTACTACTACTACTACTACTACTACTACTACTACTACTACTACTACTACTACTACTACTACTACTACTACTACTACTACTACTACTACTACTACTACTACTACTACTACTACTACTACTACTACTACTACTACTACTACTACTACTACTACTACTACTACTACTACTACTACTACTACTACTACTACTACTACTACTACTACTACTACTACTACTACTACTACTACTACTACTACTACTACTACTACTACTACTACTACTACTACTACTACTACTACTACTACTACTACTACTACTACTACTACTACTACTACTACTACTACTACTACTACTACTACTACTACTACTACTACTACTACTACTACTACTACTACTACTACTACTACTACTACTACTACTACTACTACTACTACTACTACTACTACTACTACTACTACTACTACTACTACTACTACTACTACTACTACTACTACTACTACTACTACTACTACTACTACTACTACTACTACTACTACTACTACTACTACTACTACTACTACTACTACTACTACTACTACTACTACTACTACTACTACTACTACTACTACTACTACTACTACTACTACTACTACTACTACTACTACTACTACTACTACTACTACTACTACTACTACTACTACTACTACTACTACTACTACTACTACTACTACTACTACTACTACTACTACTACTACTACTACTACTACTACTACTACTACTACTACTACTACTACTACTACTACTACTACTACTACTACTACTACTACTACTACTACTACTACTACTACTACTACTACTACTACTACTACTACTACTACTACTACTACTACTACTACTACTACTACTACTACTACTACTACTACTACTACTACTACTACTACTACTACTACTACTACTACTACTACTACTACTACTACTACTACTACTACTACTACTACTACTACTACTACTACTACTACTACTACTACTACTACTACTACTACTACTACTACTACTACTACTACTACTACTACTACTACTACTACTACTACTACTACTACTACTACTACTACTACTACTACTACTACTACTACTACTACTACTACTACTACTACTACTACTACTACTACTACTACTACTACTACTACTACTACTACTACTACTACTACTACTACTACTACTACTACTACTACTACTACTACTACTACTACTACTACTACTACTACTACTACTACTACTACTACTACTACTACTACTACTACTACTACTACTACTACTACTACTACTACTACTACTACTACTACTACTACTACTACTACTACTACTACTACTACTACTACTACTACTACTACTACTACTACTACTACTACTACTACTACTACTACTACTACTACTACTACTACTACTACTACTACTACTACTACTACTACTACTACTACTACTACTACTACTACTACTACTACTACTACTACTACTACTACTACTACTACTACTACTACTACTACTACTACTACTACTACTACTACTACTACTACTACTACTACTACTACTACTACTACTACTACTACTACTACTACTACTACTACTACTACTACTACTACTACTACTACTACTACTACTACTACTACTACTACTACTACTACTACTACTACTACTACTACTACTACTACTACTACTACTACTACTACTACTACTACTACTACTACTACTACTACTACTACTACTACTACTACTACTACTACTACTACTACTACTACTACTACTACTACTACTACTACTACTACTACTACTACTACTACTACTACTACTACTACTACTACTACTACTACTACTACTACTACTACTACTACTACTACTACTACTACTACTACTACTACTACTACTACTACTACTACTACTACTACTACTACTACTACTACTACTACTACTACTACTACTACTACTACTACTACTACTACTACTACTACTACTACTACTACTACTACTACTACTACTACTACTACTACTACTACTACTACTACTACTACTACTACTACTACTACTACTACTACTACTACTACTACTACTACTACTACTACTACTACTACTACTACTACTACTACTACTACTACTACTACTACTACTACTACTACTACTACTACTACTACTACTACTACTACTACTACTACTACTACTACTACTACTACTACTACTACTACTACTACTACTACTACTACTACTACTACTACTACTACTACTACTACTACTACTACTACTACTACTACTACTACTACTACTACTACTACTACTACTACTACTACTACTACTACTACTACTACTACTACTACTACTACTACTACTACTACTACTACTACTACTACTACTACTACTACTACTACTACTACTACTACTACTACTACTACTACTACTACTACTACTACTACTACTACTACTACTACTACTACTACTACTACTACTACTACTACTACTACTACTACTACTACTACTACTACTACTACTACTACTACTACTACTACTACTACTACTACTACTACTACTACTACTACTACTACTACTACTACTACTACTACTACTACTACTACTACTACTACTACTACTACTACTACTACTACTACTACTACTACTACTACTACTACTACTACTACTACTACTACTACTACTACTACTACTACTACTACTACTACTACTACTACTACTACTACTACTACTACTACTACTACTACTACTACTACTACTACTACTACTACTACTACTACTACTACTACTACTACTACTACTACTACTACTACTACTACTACTACTACTACTACTACTACTACTACTACTACTACTACTACTACTACTACTACTACTACTACTACTACTACTACTACTACTACTACTACTACTACTACTACTACTACTACTACTACTACTACTACTACTACTACTACTACTACTACTACTACTACTACTACTACTACTACTACTACTACTACTACTACTACTACTACTACTACTACTACTACTACTACTACTACTACTACTACTACTACTACTACTACTACTACTACTACTACTACTACTACTACTACTACTACTACTACTACTACTACTACTACTACTACTACTACTACTACTACTACTACTACTACTACTACTACTACTACTACTACTACTACTACTACTACTACTACTACTACTACTACTACTACTACTACTACTACTACTACTACTACTACTACTACTACTACTACTACTACTACTACTACTACTACTACTACTACTACTACTACTACTACTACTACTACTACTACTACTACTACTACTACTACTACTACTACTACTACTACTACTACTACTACTACTACTACTACTACTACTACTACTACTACTACTACTACTACTACTACTACTACTACTACTACTACTACTACTACTACTACTACTACTACTACTACTACTACTACTACTACTACTACTACTACTACTACTACTACTACTACTACTACTACTACTACTACTACTACTACTACTACTACTACTGGTGACAAGCCTCTTTTACGGGCAAAATAGCGGAAACGTGAAATCGTAAATCATTGAAGATCAATTCAATTAAAAAAAGAAAACTCCTTTAAATAACGTCAAATCAATTAGTAAATCCAATATCAAATCCAATGTCAAATCCAATGTCAAAAGAAGAAAACTTTAAACTCAAAGTGAAAATTAAAGTAACAGGACTACTACTACTACTACTACTACTACTACTACTACTACTACTACTACTACTACTACTACTACTACTACTACTACTACTACTACTACTACTACTACTACTACTACTACTACTACTACTACTACTACTACTACTACTACTACTACTACTACTACTACTACTACTACTACTACTACTACTACTACTACTACTACTACTACTACTACTACTACTACTACTACTACTACTACTACTACTACTACTACTACTACTACTACTACTACTACTACTACTACTACTACTACTACTACTACTACTACTACTACTACTACTACTACTACTACTACTACTACTACTACTACTACTACTACTACTACTACTACTACTACTACTACTACTACTACTACTACTACTACTACTACTACTACTACTACTACTACTACTACTACTACTACTACTACTACTACTACTACTACTACTACTACTACTACTACTACTACTACTACTACTACTACTACTACTACTACTACTACTACTACTACTACTACTACTACTACTACTACTACTACTACTACTACTACTACTACTACTACTACTACTACTACTACTACTACTACTACTACTACTACTACTACTACTACTACTACTACTACTACTACTACTACTACTACTACTACTACTACTACTACTACTACTACTACTACTACTACTACTACTACTACTACTACTACTACTACTACTACTACTACTACTACTACTACTACTACTACTACTACTACTACTACTACTACTACTACTACTACTACTACTACTACTACTACTACTACTACTACTACTACTACTACTACTACTACTACTACTACTACTACTACTACTACTACTACTACTACTACTACTACTACTACTACTACTACTACTACTACTACTACTACTACTACTACTACTACTACTACTACTACTACTACTACTACTACTACTACTACTACTACTACTACTACTACTACTACTACTACTACTACTACTACTACTACTACTACTACTACTACTACTACTACTACTACTACTACTACTACTACTACTACTACTACTGCTACTACTACTGCTACTGCTACTGCTACTGCTACTGCTACTGCTACTGCTACTGCTACTGCTACTGCTACTGCTACTACTGCTACTGCTACTGCTGCTGCTGCTGCTGCTGCTGCTGCTGCTGCTGCTGCTGCTGCTGCTGCTGCTGCTGCTGCTGCTGCTGCTGCTGCTGCTGCTGCTGCTGCTGCTGCTGCTGCTGCTGCTGCTGCTGCTGCTGCTGCTGCTGCTGCTGCTGCTGCTGCTGCTGCTGCTGCTGCTGCTGCTGCTGCTGCTGCTGCTGCTGCTGCTGCTGCTGCTGCTGCTGCTGCTGCTGCTGCTGCTGCTGCTGCTGCTGCTGCTGCTGCTGCTGCTGCTGCTGCTGCTGCTGCTGCTGCTGCTGCTGCTGCTGCTGCTGCTGCTGCTGCTGCTGCTGCTGCTGCTGCTGCTGCTGCTGCTGCTGCTGCTGCTGCTGCTGCTGCTGCTGCTGCTGCTGCTGCTGCTGCTGCTGCTGCTGCTGCTGCTGCTGCTGCTGCTGCTGCTGCTGCTGCTGCTGCTGCTGCTGCTGCTGCTGCTGCTGCTGCTGCTGCTGCTGCTGCTGCTGCTGCTGCTGCTGCTGCTGCTGCTGCTGCTGCTGCTGCTGCTGCTGCTGCTGCTGCTGCTGCTGCTGCTGCTGCTGCTGCTGCTGCTGCTGCTGCTGCTGCTGCTGCTGCTGCTGCTGCTGCTGCTGCTGCTGCTGCTGCTGCTGCTGCTGCTGCTGCTGCTGCTGCTGCTGCTGCTGCTGCTGCTGCTGCTGCTGCTACTACTACTATTACTAATACTATTACTACTACTATTACTACTACTATTACTACTACTACTATTACTACTACTACTATTACTACTAATACTATTACTACTAATACTATTACTACTAATACTATTACTACTAATACTATTACTACTAATACTATTACTACTAATACTATTACTACTAATACTATTACTACTAATACTATTACTACTAATACTATTACTACTAATACTACTACTACTATTACTACTAATACTACTACTATTTGATAGACACTGGGCTGTCCAAGGGGCTCTGGAAATTACACACTGTACTTAACTCCTTGAGGATGGTGTAAAAACTGGTGTATGTCTCTCCCTCTGTTTGGCATGCTCGATAGAATTCCATTCGATTCAGGCAAATATTCCTTTGTTTCCTGATAAAGACTTCCAGAGCTTAAAGCCAGCCTTCCACCGTGGATTGCTCGTTCAATACGGTGACTCCTTGCCTTGCATATTTCCGCGGTTCTTCGTCCAAGCATTGCCTAAACCGCCTTCTGTGTTTCTGCCTTTGCTGCCCTGATGCCTTGACAAGCCGCAAAGTCAGACCATGCCTCTTTTCAACCGACAAAGTCTGCGAGACTGGCGTTCGCTCTCAGGATAGGATGGTTCCTGCAGTTGACTGTCTTGTGCTGTCTTGCTCTGTCATCATTTTCTCTTTGACCGTTTCCGTCGTGTAGTGTCCTTTCCGACAATGCTGCTAAGGGCTCCTCGTGCTGGGCTGACGCTTGAAGTTGTTCTTGGAAAAGCGGAATTAGCTGTGGAATAGTGTCCTCCTTGATGTGATCTGTCGGGCTTGTTCCCGCCGCATTCGAGTCTAACTGTGCCATGTTGTGTCCTGATCGGACTATGAACTGATTTATTGTTCCAATGCTTGACTTTATATATTCATGATTAACTGAACACAATGCAAAATGACTTCTAACATACAAGTGACAATTATCAATGTTATCTAATCTCGCACTCAATGTGTGACACTGTATGTGTATTATCACGCGACTCAGTATCACATCAGTATGCAGCACATGGCTTCAATATAGTTCATAGGATATAGAGCCATCTGGTGAGATATGGACGGTCGAGTCTATGAAGTTTATGGAGCCAGTCTACTCCGTGGATTGGCGAGTGCATTTAATATTTGGATCAGCGTTATTGAAGCGATCTAGGCAACTGGCAACTCGACGCGCTCTTTCTCTTTTGTATAAATATACACAAAAATAACACTTTCTCTCTGCAGGTAACGCTGGGCCAAATAACACCTTTTGTCAAGTTTTGTTAACAATACACAGATAGCTAAAACTTTCTCGCATACGCTGTGTCGCGCTACATATCATAATGGTAATTGTTATGCTGGACTTGCCACATTCACGGTACATATATAATTATAGCCTGGCAGGGTCATTACCAATTTTAGTCTGATGATCGATTAAGTTCATGAAAATCGGAGTTACGAAACCGCAACTGCTCGTTCTGCTGTGTGTGTGTATCCCGCTCCTTCCCTTTCTCAAATTGAGCCCTCTACGGACGGTGGATGAACTTCACATGGTAAAATATGGAACTAAATGTTTCCGCCGACATTGAAGCAGAAAATGCACCTGACCAAGAAATTTGAACAGTGTGAAGAACAAATTGACTGTCACCACGAAGACTCGAACCAGGGACCCTTGCTTGTAGCCAGCGATGCTGTAACCACTGAGCTATGGTGTAGACGTCATCCCAGCAGAGACTGTCCAGCATTTTCTTCAGACTTCGTACCTCATACTTTGTGTGAATCTACACCGGTTGATGTGACGCAGACCTCACTGTAACCTGCACACTTCACGTACAAACTACTGTCGTGGACATGGAAATCCAGTCAATTGACTGGGGCCGGCGCCCTCAGCGTGCTCAGTGCGTACAGAGCGTTGCATGCACTGCCATGCAGGGCACAGTCAGGTGGATCCGATGCAAACACCCATATACGAATGGTACGGGGCCAGGCATCCCTTTTTTGGTATTTTTGATATGAGTATGTTGGAAGTCGATTCCAACGACTAGGTCGAAGACGTGTGAAGCGTTTCCAACAAGTGGATGGCTTTCGCACTAAAGACTACAGTACTAGCCAATGGCTAGCTTTCCCACTAAAGAACACAGCACTCGCCAATGGCTAACCTTTGCGGAATCCCCCCCCCCCCCACACACTTCACCGCCACGTGTTAACCATTGCAACGAGAGATATGCAAAGAAGCATTCGTGGTGTAATCTGAGAAAGATGAGGAACGTCCCCAACCACCAGTATTTCCCTGGAAAAGAACTGTGCAGAAGAGAGCACATAGATGCGCTCTACCGACCTGGGTTAGGAAGCAGGCACGTTCATGACTTGACCGGCTATAAGAAAACCCCGGTAAGCGAGCAAAACATCAAAGCAATGGAGATACGAGTAGAAAGAGAAGGTTGAGGCTGGTGTTACAGTGAAGACGAAAGCGGGAAGTGGCGCTTAGCCCACACTAGGACCTGACGGACTTCAGCACATACAGCATTTTGTTGAAAACAACCGCTATTCCAGCAGCGAGAAAGCAGCAGCCGGCTTGGCTGATGTCGGTCCAGCAGGCGAATCAGTAGGTGCTAGGCAGGTGAGACGGCGCCTATCAGAAACCCATCGCATTGGCTTCCGCATAAGAAAGTCGTCCTCACAGAGGCACACAAGCTCCACCGTCTTGTGTTGGCAATCGTCCACCAAGACCATGCCTTCGACCAGACGGTATCCGCCAACGAAGCTTGCTTCGCTGCCTGCCCAAATCATGTTCTGGTTTCCTCGCGATTCTGTGCCTGTTCTTGAGCAGTCACAGCATCCGGCGAAGGTGCACGTCCTCGGCGCTGTGTCTCTGTCACGCGCAGCAGCACATCCTCGACAACGGCATGCCGATCATTGCGTTTCAACCTGCTCGTTCACCAGACCTAAACCCGATCGAGAACATTTGGAGCTTGCTGAAACGATGACTGGCGGCACGCAACTGGTAAACTGCAGATAAGCTACACAAGGCTCCGATCTGCCGATGTGGCGAGTTTAGCAACATCCATGCCAAACCGTCTGCAGGAAGTCATCGCTAATAATGGTGGTCACAGCAGATACTAGCCCAGCTTCCCAGCTACTGCAAATAAAATAAAATCATGACAAGACTATCATGACAAGAACACTAAAAACACTAAAAATGAAGTTTTGCTTAGCGGAGCAAGTATACAAAGTTCACTAATTTGAGGAAAGGACACAAACGGGGACAGTCTGAAGAAAAAATTGACTGTCACCACCAGGACTCGAACCATGGATCCTCGCTTGTAGCCAGCGATGCTGTCACCAGTGAGCTATGGTGTAGTCGTCATCCCAGCAGAGTCTGTTCAACATTTTCTTCAGACTTCGTTCCTCACACTTTGTGTTAATCTACACCGGTGGGTGGGATGCAGACCTCACTGTAACACACACACACACTTCACGTACAATGTAGGAGCAGGAGCAGCGACGGCAGGTGCAGCAGCTGTGGGAGCAGCAGCAGGTTGAGCAATAACTTGATGACTGACTAGGTAGACAACAGCCACCTATGTAGTGGGTACTAACAACGAGACTGACGTTCCATAAATAGTCAAGGTACGAGTTCACGCACCGCTGCCACCAATGTAGTGGTAGACGAGTGCACGAATTTACTTTTAATCGATCTTCAGGTACACACCTGGATTGTTAGGTTAATAAAAGAAGCGTTCGTTCGTGGTTCTCCTCTTCCTGGAGCGCGTCACCGTGGCGCTATGTGCAATGGGCATACAAGTTGCAAAGCAGCGAGTGTCAGTGGTCATTTCTGCTACAATGCCGGAGGGAAAACTTTATTCCACGATTTATAACCCAGGGTACCTGACAGCCAAGGTCTTCCAGGCACAAGCAAGTCCGCCAAAGAAGAAGACACCAGCACTGCCTTCGTCTTCTGAGCGACGCCATAGAGGACAAGTGTGCAGAGAAGGACTTTCGCTTGAGACAGAGCACGCACTTTCGGGACAAGCTCTGGTCATTCGCTCGGTAGAGTTACATAAGGATCCGTACCATGAAGCGTTGCGTAGCCACAAAGGAGCGCATCGATACAAATGCAAGGCTAGCCCGGAAGCTTGGCAAGCTTCGTGCAGAAGCTGGCAAGCAAGAGCATGAAATTACGCAAGCCGCATCACAAGCCCAGCTTGGCGCTCGGACCAGTAGTGCGGCGACATGTGATGGATCCAGTGTCCAGCGGGCATTGGTTGTGGATGATTGTGTGCCGGACAGCACCAGGCGGATTCTGGAGCTTGGACCGAGCAATAATCTAGCACCACCATTCGCAATATTGTTCATGCACTCTCTGGAAACCCACCTTCTGGCTGAGTCACCGGTTCTGCCTGTGCTGTACAAACGGTACATTGATGATGTGATCATTCTCTGGACCCACGGTGAGAAACGCCTCTTGGTGCTAATACAGCACTTCAATGCAGGACACGACCGACTCAAGTTCACCTACGAGCTCAGCAGTAGCAAAGGCTGGATTGATTACATGGACGTGACGATTGCCATACAACAGTCGGGCCAGATGACGTACAAGCTCTGTCAAAAGCCATGCAATAGTGGATTGCTGATAGACTACGCATCTGCTGTGCCCCATCACATCAAACTTGCCGTTGCCAAGTCTCAATTCTTAAGAGGACAACGTCTGTCTTCCAATGACACCATGTGTGAAGAAAGTGAGCAGAAAAGACCAACTTCAACTCAACTACTATCCAGAGAGCCTCATCATTTGAGGAAGCATGTGATATACCGTCTGCAATGCAAGTTGTGCAGGGTAAAATACATTGGAGAGACGGGTCACACACTGGAGACGAGACTGAAGGAACACAATGTTGAAGCTCGTAGGTGGACTGTGGAGAAGCCATGGGGTGACCACATGTGAGCTAAGCATGCAGGGATCAACCTGAGTGTCGGGGACAGCATCTTCTCAGCAGTGTCTGTGATTGCAAGGTCCAGTGAGAGGGCAAGCCGCAAATTGTGGGAGGCAGTGGAGATCAGAAACGAAGGCCCAGAGATCAACACCAGTGCTGAATGGTCATTACTCTAAAACAGTCACACCACACTGGTTATCTACAGTTGTGCATGTGCCGTATGCACTGTGCATGTGCTGTACTCATACGCATGCATGCTTACACCAAAGTGTAAAAACCACCCCAAACAAAGACAAGTGCAACATTCATTTCAGTTCAGGACAAGTAAAGAAGACGGAGATCGTTTCGAAGCGGTTTATTTCATACACAGAACAGCAGGGCTTCAATATTTTGTGTGGCCACCGTCTGCTTCGATTAGGGCTTCAACACGACGTGACATTGACTCCACGTATGGGGAAAACGTGTCAGGAGCCAACAAGTCCCACTCCAGGTGCAGTGCCTGCACCAGCTGGTCAGCATTCTCGCAGCGATGTGGAATTATTCTCTTCTTGTCAAATCTTGAGGAGAGCCCACACATTCTCGATTGGATTCATGTCATGTACAACTTGACCTCCCGTACCCGTATGACAACCTGCTTCGTGTACACCAGCTCTTGCGTGAGACAGTGTGCTCGCTGGTCTACCGGTACCGGTGCCTACATTCCACCATGGAGCAGCCGCTGATCAGCGCATTATTTGGAGATTTCGACACTCCGACCAGGGCTGGCCAAACGCTCGGCTCCCAACAACATCTGCTGCAGCTTCCATCCAGAACTCATCCCGTGTCTCTTTCTGCTGCACGCGTTTGGAACAGTCTTCCACCTGATGCGAGAAACATCACGTCCCCCCCCTCCAGTTCAAGGGTGTGTTGCACGCGTATTGTCTTACTGTAGCATGACACCAACCCCCTCCCCTGTCTTGAGTACTAGTATGTAGTAATCATGATGCTCTGATACATACCGAGGCTAGCTGTATGCTCAGTCTCCGGCTAGCTGTATGCTCAGTCTATACATTCTTGATCTTATCTTCTTCATGTTTCCTTTCTCTTTTCTTTAAAATGTTTTACAGCCAGAAGTGGTCTTCATATAAGGAGGCAGACATGCCTGTTTGTTGTTCGACTTTAAATAAATCCAACTAACCAACCAATGTCCGGCGAAGAGGGAGGTTGAAACAGGATGTTGGGTACTCCGGTATCGAGAAGATCCTGCTGTGCTTGAGTGAAGTGATTGAAAGAAATTTTGAACTGTTTTTAGTACGCAACACGTGCACTCCGAACTTTTACGCGTACCGTTGAGTTCATACACACAAATCGCCAGTGATGTAATGGGAGCTAGCTTCGCGCCAATTCGCGGCGCCGGCTTTGCACTTCGGGCCGGATTTCACCGAGCGCAACTAAAGGTGACAGTATTTTCTGGAAAACACTGACATGGTCACTTTCGTATATTGCTCGCGAGAAACCTGTTCAGACATTTCTCAAGTTATCTGGTGACATCTGCGCTGTGCTAACTAATAATTACTTACTACCAACACACAGCATAGAAGTCAGTGAAAGCTTGTGTTCTTTCACTAGTTTTAGACATGTCATATTCACAGCACTGAGGTAACATGTGTAGTCATAGAAATATTAACACCTAAGAACACCAAATTGATGTATATAATTTCTCCTTTGCAGACTTCCACTTCATATAGCATCCTGCTGAGGGCAATTTGCCAAAAACGTTGAAAATGATTCTGAGAAATGAAAACGAGTGGTGAATTTGCAGTGCCCAGGGAATGAGCATGTGTGCTCACCAATTCTCTTTGAAAAAAAAGAAGCGGGAATAAAAAGAACTTTCTCCGGTACACACCTGGAGGTTTAACAGCTCTTCTGTTCGGCTTTGTTGTCGTTATCAAATCTCATGAAAACTAAAATGGCTAGCAGCTTTTACAGGCAACAGACAACATACGCTAACGTATAGGGATACGCTAACGTACGAGGATACGCTACAAGCAAGGCAGGGATACTACACAATGTACATCTTATCCAAGTCATGGGGTGCATATATCGGAAAAGAGATTTTTTGCGTAGTTCTGTTATTTTGATATGCGGTAAATGTGTAAAGCATGGTATAAAGAGTATTAAGAAATTCTTCCAGGAAGTGGTATACATCCTATCAAAAATCTACTTTGTTCTCCCAGATATTTGTGGAATACTACACTTGTTGACCTACCTGCCGGGCTGTTTGACGCGACAACCGAATTGAGATACCTGTAAGTCATGTTGTGCATGTATCGTAAAAAGGCGTTTTTTTGGCATAGTTCTGTTCTTTTAAGATGTGGCGAATGGGATTTCAGGATGTAGCATCTAGGCATATGCGGATAATGCCGTCAAAAATTGGCAGAATTCGGTACTTTTTCTTGTAAATTTCATGCATGTTTAGTATGTGGATAAAGAATTAGAGCAAAATTCGACAAATTGCCCGCCAATTTCACTGCTTTTTGAGCAGAATCTGCCACCTTTTCGATGATTATCCACCAGTGCCCAGTGGCATCTCGTTGGTTGACCTTAGGTACCCTTCTCCTCCCCTTTATGACCGATACCTAATGCCGCTCACGAGGTGGTCGCAACCAACGTAAGCGAAAATGTGGTTCTTCATCCACCCTGTACCGAAACTAGTGTTGAAACGAGCATATCTATAAAAACGAACGATCAGTTCCACTATCGAGCAAGCTATCGAGCGAGCTAACGAGTTTCATTGATGTGGCAAATATGAATTTTTGAATATATATTTTTCAAAGTTCGATTTTTTCAGCTGGTTCAAATTATCACCGCAAATTATCACCACTGGCATAATTGGGGTTGCTGCTACCCACTTTGGACTGCTGTTTGGTGTCAAGATGTCTTTTCGGCGCCGTGGTTAAGTAGCCTTTGTAAGAATAGACCGTTTTGCAAGGATTGCAAGAAGCCCTGGTCTTCGCTGCATCGCGGGAGAAAACTTCCAAACAACTGAGCGTGAACTTTCACTCAGATGCGGAACAAGACATCAGTAGAGACCCCCAAAGCTGCAATGACAACACAAACAACTCAAGTGTCGTGCAGGCATACAGACACTGTAACTGCGATTGATTTTCACGTTGCACGAGACTGGACTCTCTATCAACCAGGAAATCATAAAATATTTTACGACTCCCCGGTCGACATGTACTACCATGTGTACGGAGTACGGTGTACCTTGTTCGTTAGTGCAAACGAGCTGGCCGCACAAACGAGCCGAGTTTCTGGCGAGCGAGCTAACGAGTACCCGGGGAGATCGTTTTAACACTAACCGAAACCCGTGCAGAACCAAGAGCAGCCTCGTATCAGATACAGTTGTATGTAGACAGCTATGAATGACCATCCGTCTGCTAAGGTAGAACATGGCCACTGCAGGTAGCCATGGAATTTTGACATCATTCAGGTCTACAAAACCAGAGAGAGATTAGCGAAATAACAGCAGCGAAAAGTACCGTCACGATCGCACAAATCGAGATTTGTGTGTGTTAGTGTGTGCGTGTATGTGTGTATGTGTGTGGGTGTTACTATGTGTGTGCGTGTTAGTATGTGTGTGTGTGTGTGTGCGTGTGTGTGTGTGTGGGTGTGTGGGTGTGTGGGTGTGGTATGTGAGCGAGATTAAGCGAGTGCGTGTTAGTGCTAGACCTGCGCCTACTACATCTGCCTCTGAAATAGCCTGACCATGTATACATTCACGCAATTACTCCTCTTGTTCACCTACCTGCCGGGGTGTTCAAAGCCACAACCAAATTACAAAAACTGTAAGTCATGTTGTGCATGTACCGTAAAAAGGCGTTTTTGGCATAGTTCTGTTCTTTTCAGATACGGCAAATGGGTTTTCGGGATTTGGCATTTCGTTAAATATTGTTACCAACCACACAACAAGCCGACCTGTTTGGGAGCTATTACGCGTTGTATTACCAGGAGATAGGCAACAATTGCCGCATACAAAATGCAATATTCTGGTCCAATGCCAGAGCTAGTATTGCAAGCACCGCTGTGTGTTATTATGGCCAATGCTGACACTAACTCAGGCAACAGTTGCCCGGCGAGAATTCAGACGTGTCAATACACGAGCATGCAGTAGGGATGCACTTGTGGGAGAATGTAGGCGCACTTGGCTGAATGCCGGCCTGACCCACGATCCCTACTGTTGAATTCAAACGTGTCAATACATGAGCATGCAGTAGGGATGCACTTGTGGGCGAATGTACGCGCACTTGGCTGAATGCCGGCCTGACCCACGATCCCTACTGTTCTCCCTTACGGGATGGCTTAAAGGATGCACTTGTGAGCGAATATAGGCGCACTTGGCTCAATGCCGGCCTGAATCACGATCCTTACTGTTCTCCCAAAGATACAACATGACCCAAACATGATTTATCGGCATAACTATTTACAGCAATAGATGCGAGCGCCGTCCAATGCGGCTGCCCATTAGCGTAGTGGGCAATGCGCTCTAAGTACCGGATCTGGAACAACGCTGCTGGCACTGATCAGTCCCTGGGTGTAGCTTGCCCTGGCTAGGTTCTGCTCCGCTGCCAGAGTGGCCAAGTCATCGCGTACAGTAGTCTGGAGCCAACTTCAACTCGAACAGGCGAATCCGCGGAGTAGTTTTTGTTCCTGTCGGGTCTAAATTGCGGGATGCCAGTGCGTTTCGCAGCTCAGCAGAGCGCATTTTGGCTGGACATCGCTCAGTGACAGAGACATGGTTGATCGGATATTGATCAGAAACTGGCCGCGATTGTCAAAAAATTTGACCGTCAGCGCAGCAAAGCAAAGAGCGTTTTGGCTGGACATCGCTCACTGACAGAGACGTGGTTGATCGGATATTGATCAGAAACTGGCCACGATTGTCAAACAATTTGACCGTCATTGCATCAGCGCACCAAAGCAAAGAGCGTTTTGGCTGGACATCGCTCACTGACAGAGACATGGTTGATCGGATATTGATCAGAAACTGGACGCGAGAGTCAAACAATTTGACCGTCAGCGCAGAAAAGCAAAGAGCATTTTGGCTGGACATCGCTCACTGACAGAGCCATGGTTGATCGGACATTGGCCGCGATAGTCAAACAATATGACCGTCAGCACAGCAAAGCAAATAGCGTTTTTGGCTGGACATCGCTCACTGGCAGAGACATGGTTGAGCGGATATTGATCAGAAACTGGCCGCGATTTCATGCCCCAGGGGCTGCTGTGGCTGTCGACGTCAGCAAGAACATCTGGCGTGTCGTTGACGTACGCCTGGAAAAGTGTTGGTCCAAGAATGCTTCCCTCGGGGACTCCAGCAGTGGTCGTGTACGTATATGACGTACGCCTCCAAAGAGGCACTGTAAGGAACGGGTGTCGAGGGAAGAGGCCAGGCTACGCACCTTGTGAAGGAGGCCGACATGTGAGACACGATCAAACGCTCCTGTGATGTCCACAGCAAGGATATTCGGCGCCCTCCACAGCCCACAGCGCTTGCCCAGGCAGTTTGGAGAGCTTGCAAGGTGTCTTATGTTCCGAGGCCTCCGCGAAATCTAAACTGGTGCGACGTGAGCAGATGGTGGTCCTCAAAATAGTTTACGATGTGTCTGTTTACTAGAGTTTCCATGATTTTCGAGATTATGCACAGTAAGGATATGGGCCTGTAGTTGAGCGGGAAGGTCGCTTGTGGATCAGAACCACGTTGGCCGTCTTCCACATCTTAGGTTGGACTCCAGACCGGAAGCATAAGGCAAATAACTTGGACAGTGGCTCTGAAAGCTCGCGAGCACATTCCTTAAGGACGCAAGCAGAAATACTGTCAAGCCCTGTAGCCTTGGTGACGTCGAGCTTTGCCAGGAGGCGGCGCACAGCCTCTGGGCGGAAGCGGATGGTGCGAAGAGGTGGAGGATCTGAGGGAGCAGGGTCCAGTAGCTCTGCCTCCACAAGGTCCGGACCGGCAACGCTACATTTCTTTGAAAAGAAGCGAGCAAATGCCTGGCTTTCCCTGAGCTCGTTGCCCACTCACGGCCGTCAGAGTTGACAATTAGGGGAATTTCGAGCTGTGTGCAGTTGCCAGCGTCGTTCTTCAACTTCGTCCACCACTGTTTGTCTCTGAGGGACCCAGATGAGAGGCCGCGACAGAGGCTGTCCTCCTTTGCACGTCATGGTCGGAACTGAGTGGCGATCGTTACAGTCACGGAATTGGTAGATGCCTGCTGAAGTGCTGAGTCATAAGGGTGTTTTCTTCTTCCTCTGGGTCTGGGTGAATTCAGGCATCCACCATACCGGATCGGAAGGCCTCGTTTCCAGAACTTTGGATGGGACAAATTATACAACAGCTGCAGTTATCGAAGCGGTAACTTGCTTACAGGAAATTTCCTCCGTGATGATATCACCCCATTCCACGTTGCTAAGGTGCGCCCTGAAACGATCCCAGTCTGCCCTGTTGTAGCAAAACACTGGGGGGTTCACGTCTATGGAGCAGATCAGAAAAGTCTGAGAGTACAACTGCATGATCAGATCGACCGAGGGGTGGAAGTGTACGTGTAGTTACTGGGGACGTGAATGTTGCCATTGTGAGGTCTAGCGGGTTGTCTCTACGGGTGACATGCTTAAGGTGGCAGACTACCCAAAAATTCGCTGAAAAATCGAATTTGTAAATTCATATTGAGTGCTACGTCAGTTGAAAGAGCATGAATAGCTGCAAATTCTCTGAAAATTGTGTCCCGATCTGACCGGCCGTTCAAGAGTTATGGCCGAAAATGTGCCCTTGCAAGGAAAGATTTTTTTGTTGCACGCTGTTTGTTGGCTGCACTGTATTTGAATGTGAGCAGACCGTGCGCAACTTGTCGTATCATGGAAACACGTGAAAGTGTGCAGAATTTTGCTCCAAGTCCAAAAAATCAGGTTTTTGAGCCACGTGCAGCAGGACCTTTGCCAGCACCCTCGTGACGTTGCAGATATGTGGCTTGATTATTGTAGTTGACGTTGATTTAGTGACTTTGGCAAGTTTGAGTCGTGTCAAGAAGTCAGGTAGGATTCAGTACTAGGCAGTAGTGAAACGTGAGTGGTAGTCTTTGCCGGTTTCTGAGGGTATCCTGGATTTGGTGTGCAGCGCTGTGGAAATGGCTTGCTGTGGAGGTCCCAGCACTGGATGTTGTATCAAAGGTACGACCTTGTAGCACGTGCTAAACCTAAAAAGATTCAAAAATTGACTTGGGTCTGTGGGAGTGTGTGAGAGAACGCCCACTCGTTCCGTTGTGACAGATTCCAGACCTCGTTGAGGGGCCCTACCCCATCACCCATGGCTGCTTCTGGACTTGTTCTAGGTTTGAGTCCCACGCACGAACAGAATGAGCACGAAAATGTGAAAAATTTGTAAATGCATTTGTTTGGCTCCTGGGTGGCTCGCACACCGTGGCACTATGCCGGAAATTTGAGTTTTTCCGGCCTGGAAAGCCTGTCGGTGAGGTGCAAGAACTTGTAAATCATGTCCTGAGGGCCAGCAGGAGTGTGTGGTCAAAATTTCACTCAAATCCATTGAGAAACACCAAAGTTACGGTCAATTGAATGCCATATGAAATTTATGGGTAGGCTGCCCCCTTAAAAGAAGATGGGCAGCAGGTATCTTCGAGAGCCTCGCCTGCAGGCGTAGTTTTCGAGCTGTTCAACCAAGCCTGGCTGTGCACGTTGAAATCGCCAGCTAGGATAATGTGGGGGCCCTGCTGTCTAGCTTCTGGGAGGATGGTGTCGGGATGGTCAATTAGGGTGAGATCGCCAGGGGCACAGGACTCCGGCCGAAACACTGCTCCCAAGACGGTGCGGAGACCTCGCCCCGGCTGGAGAGAAAACCAGATGATCTCATGTGCGGGGACATGAGTTCAGTGTTGAGCATGGAGGGGAGTGACGACTTCACCCAGATGGCTACCCCTCCCCGTGTGCCGTTCTGTCCAACCAAAATGGCGAGCTGTATCCAGGGAAACTGATGCCAGAGGGAAGCACTTTCTCCGCAGTGAACTTCGTTTCTGTCACAATTGCGACGTGGGGCTGATGCTGCAGGAGTGCGTGCTGTAGGTCGGGAGGTTTGCTGGCTAGGCCGAAAGCGTTTGTGCAGATAATACGAAGATGCTTGCGACCCTTCATTGCAGGAGGAGGTAATTAAAAAGGGGAGTGGAATTTGGCATAAGCGGTTGCATGGCTACATGTATGGCTAAATCTCCTAAAAATCTAATGAAATACCTAAAAGGTGTGGAGAACAACGTCACTGTAGGCTAGGATTGAGTATCATGTCATACCAGTTTGCTGAGGCGTGAGCCCTGTGCTGGGGCAAGGGGTTGGCTGTGGCCAGGGTCGATGTTGTTGCTCTCTTTTTGTTTTTTTTGGAATTGGGACTGGTTCTCCTGCATTGTTCGGAGGTAATCCAGTGGTTTGCTGGATGTTTAGACATGTCTGTGTTAGACACCAGTGAGGATAGGAGATCTTCAGCACGCGCCGAATCTGGGTGATTGCATGTTGTGATGGTAGGAGTGGTTGTGTCGGTGTGCGGTGAGGTTGGATGTTGTCGTACCTGTACCTGTGCGGCCTGGCGGCGTTTCAGGGTGCACAGTCGTGCTGGTTGCCGACATGGGCGATATAATGTCGGGTTCGTACTGGTCGTTGACTGGGTCATTTGGTGCGAGCTGGAGAGCAGGTCCACTTTCCGAGTGGTGTTGGCACCGTCGGAGGCGGTTTCGGATACGGCGCTGGCGTGGGTCAAACTCTGGGCCGCTTTTGGTGCCGAATCGGTACGGTGAGAGTCAGTTTCAGCTCCGCTGTTCCGCTCTGTGCTGCCCGTGCTGCTGCCTTTGCTGCCGGAATGCGTGGAGGTGTGTGCACTGCGACGGTTTTGGCTTTATTCCAACAAGAATGGGTGAGATATTTTCGAAAAATGAGAAATAGCTCAAAACCCACTCGTAGCGTTCATGACGAGTAGACCCATCCGAACTCGTGAGACACGAATATGTTTCGCATTGTCACGACTGGTCTCTAAACCAGCTCCCCCTTCGCGAAGAAGTTTCAATAACTCAATAAGCGTGACATTTAGTGCGACAACAAGAGATAATCACTGGACATAACTAACGAGGTTTTGACAACCTACCTAACAGCCTAAGTGTGAATTTAATTTGCTTATGCTTGCTTGCAAAGGTTGGGTTTCTTTGTGTGGATGTATACGGCATCAAAACAATCTAGCACTGCGTACACATGACACAATCGAACAAAATCATCTGAATACACAGCACAACAATCAAAATGCTCTAACAAATGACGATGGACGACTCATACATCAGAATAATCAGCATGTGCGGTGGACACAACCGATACCAAATGGCTAGTCGTGTGGACCCTAGCCATTGCCGCTGTCAGTGCTTTAGACGCTGCCATCGCCGTCGGTGCCGATCTTTGCTGTTGCTTGGCGTTGATGTCAGTGCTTAGACTGCCATCACCATCGTTGCCAAATGTTTTCAACAACTGGACGCACGCATCCGACAACAGGAGACGTCCAGCAAAGAATCATCCTGGTGCAAGATGATCTAACGCAGCGGCATCAACACAAAGCAACGTCGCCTCACAATTAACTAGACCACCGGAAAAACAACCGGACAAGACACTTACTGGCATGGCAGTGACAGGAAGCGCCTCAACTAGAAGAATGACAAGATCAGCAACGACGGCAATGGCAGCAGGAGAAGTCTGAAGAACAAATTGCCTGACTCCACCAAGACTCGAACCAGGGACCCTCGCTTGTAGCCAGCGATGCTGTAACCACTGAGCTATGGTGTAGTGGTCATCCCAGCAGAAACTGTTCAACATTTTCTTCAGACTTCGTAACTCACACTTTGTGTGAATCTATACTGGTGGGTGGGACGCAGCCCTCATTGTAATCCACACACTCCACCTACAAACTAGCACGCAATATTCTTTCAGGATCATACATCCTATCCAAATTCTACTTTGTTCTCCCAGAGGTTTGGACGAAAATCAACTTGTTCACCTACCTGCCGGGCTGTTCAAAGCCACAACCAAATTAAACGAACTGTAAGTCACATTGTGAATGTACCTTAAAAGGCCTTTTTGTCCAAGTTCTTTTGAGATGTGGCAAATGGGATTTCGGGATATTGCATCTCGTTGAATGATCTCATGTACCCTTTATGACCCGAATCTGACGCCGCTCGTGGAAGACTTTTCCAGGTAGAACTCCGTGTTGGAAGCAAAGAGCTGAGATAGTGTCTTTACAAGTTCCATTGTGCATTCCTTCAAGAAAGAAACTAGCTCCTGCGATTTCTTTTCCACTTAGCCACCTATTTAACCTCTCCTTTACCACAGGCAAGTTTCCTACCGAATGGAAACTGGCTAAATGTTTGCCTATTTACAAGTGCAAAGGCAGCAAATCCCAAGCGAGTAACTATCGCCCAATTTCCCTCCTGTCCTGTATTTCCAAATTTTGCGAATGGCTCTTCTTCAATCAACTATATGATCCTATTTCTCCTGCTCTTGATCCCGCGCAATCTGAGTTTCGTCGTGGTGATTCGACCGCTCTATAGCTCACCAAGCTGATCCAAAACATTGCCGACCATCGTCATATGGGGCGGAAAGTTGCCATTATGCTTTTTCGACCTCGAGAAAGCTTTCGACACCGTGTGGCACCGTGCATTACTTGCTAAACTTTCCAAAGTTTTCGGTGTGTGTGGCGCAGCGCTAGAGTGGATTACAGACTACCTATCCGACAGAACGCAAGTTGTCTTTGTAGGTGGACTTCTCTCAGATGCCTCACCTGTTCTGTCCGGAGTGTCGCAGGGATCCATCCTAGGGCCCCTCCTTTTCCTAGTGTATATTAATGATCTTCCCAGTCATGTTTTAGGTGTGTCCTTATTTGCTGATGATACTGCACTGCTCCGGTTCAATGAGTGTCCAGAGAGACTGCGAGACAGTCTCCAGTGCGGCATCAGCGAAGTCTAGGACTCGGCTTGACTATGCTCAAAACCCCAATAATGACTATTGTGTTGAGCTCATCACGTTATCTGGTTGCAGTAATATAGATCAGGTGGGAATAGGGACATTATGTCGATAGGAATCAACTTTATTCTCTTTGTCGGGCTATGTCGCTCCGGCAACAGATGTCATCCATGCGTGAAACACAAAATTACTGTTGGCAACCTAAAAAATGCACGAAACACACGACCAACTTACCAGATACACGAAATAGCTGTGGATGCATTTCCGTATCCAACAAGTCGATCTCTCCGGGTTGTACCTGAAAAGCAAGTGCTCGAACCTGTCATACCTGTCATACTGGCCAACCCTCCCGGTTTTCCTTGGAAAATTCCGGGAATTAACACTACTCCCGGGGTCCTGGGGATTTGAAGGAAAATACCGGAAAAGTCACAGTTTCGTCTGATACAGGATTTTTCTGAAAACTCCATGGATTTGCTTTGAATGTCCCGGTTTTTTCAAAAATATGTACGGTGCGCACTTGCACTTCGAACTGTTAACGGCACTTTCAAGACCTGACCACAAGATCTGCACTGACAGGCGCTATAGGTGGGCGCCGACGCGCCGACTGATCGAACTGCAGTGCAGGGTTGAACTGTGCCGTACGCAGATCTGCAGAGTTGAACTTTTTTTGGCGGGAAAATCACTTTTCACTTGTTTTGTGCCATCCAGGGATTTTGCGAAAAATCCAGGGATTCTGCTTGTATTGTCAAGGGATTGAGATTTTTGTGGTTGGTCAGTATGCTACGTGGTCGAAATTTCAAATGATATTCCTGGAAAACAGGTTGCAGCTAGATCCCAAATCATGAAGTGCAGGGCATCGTGCCTCTTCATGGTTTCACTCAAGCAGCATTCCATCATACATCACAGTGGTAGCATAGCAAATATCATGTTGCTGATCAACCTGATCATTTGGATTTTGATCATGATCTTGATTGTCGATCAAATCGATCAAATCCGTCGATCTGCTATGTCACGCGGTGGTCGGCACACGGCCAGTTTCAGGACGTAAAATATCGTGCTTCGATCGCACAAATCGAGATTTGTGTGTGTTAGTGTGTGCGTGTATGTGTGTATGTGTGTGGGTGTTACTATGTGTGTGCGTGTTAGTATGTGTGTGTGTGTGTGTGTAGGGGGGGGGGGGGTGGTGTGTGAGCGAGATTAAGCGCGTGCTTGTTAGTGCTAGACCTGCGCCTACTGCATCTGCCTCTGAAATAGCCTGACCATGTATACATTCACGCGATTACTCCTCTCGCTATCGCATTATCACACCTCTCTCCGTTTAGATATACCAGCGCTGCCTCCTATTCCATTATCGTTGTCTGATGATTGGTTCAGCCATGAAACTCTGAGTCTCAACGGAATTGATTTGCCAAGGTTTTCATTGTGTGCCTTTGTGTCTTTTGTGTAAATAATAATAATCCCTAGTCATAACTCGTAATAGGTTGTCCTTCTGCTCTTTTACCATAATTAAATTGGCTCACCACTAGAACTAAACATCATAATTTATTGTTTTACTGCTTATAGAGTTCACTACTTCGAGGGTAAGACACAAAGGAGAACAGACTGAAGAAAAAATTGACTGACACCACAAGGACTCGATCCAGGGACCCTCGTTTGTAGCCAGTAATGCTGTAACCACTGAGCTATGGTGTAGTGGTCATCCCAGCAGAAACAGTTCTACATTTTCTTCAGACTTTGTAACTCACACTTTGAGTGAATCTACACAGCCGAGTGGCACGCAGCCCTCACTGTAACCCACACACTCCACCTACAAACTAGCACGCAAAATAGAGTAATAAGAAATTCTTCCAGGAAGTGATATACATCCTGTCAAAATTCTACTTTGCTGTCGCAGAAATTTGTACAGTAATCAACTTGTTCACCTACCTGCCGGGCTGTTCAAAACCACAACCAAATTACAATACCTGTAAGTCATGTTGTGCATGTACCTTAAAAAGGCGTTTTTGGCATAGTTCTGTTCTTTTCAGATACGGCAAATGGGTTTTCGGGATTTGGCATTTCGTTAATAAATTATTGTTACCAACCACACAACAAGCCGACCTGTTTGGGAGCTATTACGCGTTGTATTACCAGGAGATAGGCAACAATTGCCGCATACAAAATGCAATATTCTGGTCAAATGCCAGAGCTAGTATTGCAAGCACCGCTGTGTGTTATTGTGGCCAATGCTGACACTAACTGAGGCAACAGTTGCCCGGCGAGAATTCAGACGTGTCAATACACGAGCATGCAGTAGGGATGCATTTGTGGGAGAATGTAGGCGCACTTGGCTGAATGCCGGCCTGACCCACGATCCCTACTGTTGAATTCAGACGTGTCAATACACGAGCATGCAGTAGGGATGCACTTGTGGGCGAATGTACGCGCACTTGGCTGAATGCTGGCCTGACCCACGATCCCTACTGTTCTCCCTTACGGGATGGCTTAAAGGATGCACTTGTGAGCGAATATAGGCGCACTTGGCTCAATGTCGGCCTGAATCACGATCCTTACTGTTCTCCCAAAAATACAATCGGCATTACTATTTACAGCAATTGATGCGAGTGCCGTCCAATGCGGCTGCCAATTAGCATAGTGGGCAATGCGCTATAAGTACCGGATCTGGAACAATGCTGCTGCCACTGATCAGTCCCTGGGTGTAGCTTGCCCTGGCTAAGTTCTGCTCCGCTGCTGGAGCGGCCAAGTCCTCGCGTGCAGGCTAGTCCGCGGAGTAGGTTTTGTTCCTGTCGGGTCTAAATTGCGGGATGCCAGTGCGTTTCGCAGCTCAGCGGAGCGCATTTTGGCTGGACATCGCTCTATGACAGAGAAACGGTTGATCGGATATTGATCAGAAACTGGGCGCGATCGTCAAGCAATTTGACCTTCAACGCAGCAAAGCAAAGAAGCGTTATGGCTGGACATCGCTCACTGACACTGACAGAGACATGGTTGATCGGATATTGATCAGAAACTGGCCGCAGTTGTCAAACAATTTGACCGTCACTGAGTTAGCACAGCAAAGCAAAGAGCGTTTTGCCTGGACATCGCTCACTGACAGAGACATGGTTGATCGGATATTGATCAGAAACTGGCCGCGAGAGTCAAACTATTTGACCGTCAGCACAGCAAAGCAAAGAGCGTTTTGGCTGGACATCGCTCACTGACAGAGCCATGGTTGATCGGATATTGATCAGAAACTGGCCGCGAAATTCAAACAATTTGACAGTCAGCGCAGCAAAGCGAAGAGCTGTCAGCGCAGCAAAGCAAAGAGCGTTTTGGCTGGATATCGCTCACTGACAGAGACATGGTTGATCGGATATTGATCAGAAACTGGCCGTGATAGTCAAACAATTTGACCGTCAGCACAGCAAAGCGAAGAGCAAGAAACAACAGCATGGCGAATTGGAGTAATGCGCATGCTCCGCACAGTCCCGTGAGGAAACGCGGGAATTCGGAGTGCATGCATGTTAAGAGTGTACCAATGTTGCTTATGGCAAGGATGTTGGTGTGTTGCTAACTCCACTTACCGTGCCATGCACGGAAACTTATATATCTCATGTACCCTCCCCCACCCTTTATGACCCTAATCGGACGCCGCTCACGGAAAGCTTTTCCAGGTGGAACTCCGTGGAAGCAAAGAGCTGAGATAGCGTCTTTGCAAGTTCCCTGGCGCATTCCTTCAAGACAGGAGCGGAAAAACCGTCGGGCCCAGTCGCCTTTGAGGAATTCAAGATGAGGTAGAAGCCGGTGGACTGCATTGGGACAAAAGTGAACTGTCGTTAGTGCATGTGAGCCAGTGAATGCTGTGTTCGGTAAGTCCATCGTAGTAAGTTTGAGGCCTTGCACACTGCATTTGTTGGAAGAGAAACGTGAGAAAGCTTCCAAGTTCTCGTAACTTGTGGCCGTATCGCAACCTTTAAGGTGGCTCGCTCCTAAATTTAAAACTATAGTCTGTTTCAAAAAGATTTACAATCAGGTTTGGGTCTTAAAAAGTATGAAGATAAGGGAAATTTGGACAACAAAGTACATCGAATGGCTTGTTAGGACACGGCAAATTGTTCTGTGAAGGTTTCGGAACAATGGGACCAGCCGTTAAGGAGTTAAAATTTGGGCCAGGTTTCCGGCCTTTTCCCATGGGTTACAATTTGCCCAGGAAGCCAGTATCGATTTTTTATCAAAACCCACGATTTATCCTTTCCTTTTTGGCCTTGTGGTTATGAATGCTGTCTGCTGACCATGCAGTTGTGAGTTCAAATCCCAACCTATCCTCAAGTCAAACTTTTTTTTCATTGTTTTGGTGATCAAGCTGGTACAAGACAAAGAAGATGGCTGCACCAAACGACTTGTTGTTGGAGCTCGCGCTTCCTGCCGAACTGGCTGACACTTGACTGGCTCACGCCATGTGAACACACCCACAACACTGCAATGGTGTGAGTGAATATGGAAGTCATCGTGCTGTAGCTTTTTGAGATTCATTTTAGTATTTCAAGATCGCCAATTTATTTGAATTTAGAGTCAACGCCGTCTTCTATCAGCGTTCACAAGCGTATGCTTTTCTCAAAATGTCGTCGAAGTCACACGGATAGCTTTGCCAATTCATGGCCTTGGGAATGAGTCCGTGTCGATGTCGTTTTCGTAACATGGTGAGTAAATTGCATCGCAGCTCAAAGAAACTATTTTGGTCACAAAACGAATTGGGACACATGCCGCTCGTCAACATTTACAACACTTTCGTTTCGACATGTCCTCTCTGACTCCATTATCGATACGAGGAAGAACTAGTTTGTTGTAAACCAGACGTACATGACTGTATCAACGTGAGTGAGTTGTCATTTTTCCTGCTTTCGCGCGGAATATTTCTTCGAGTTCACAGTGAGTTTTTCCAGGCAGCGCTCGAGTGCTCATATGGTAAGACGTCAATCTCCGCGGGCGATCGCCAGGATTGCAAATCTTTTTGAAACGGACTGTAGAGCACGAATCCAGCTATCCAGGCCAACGGAGGAAAAGGTTAGAAAAGGTTAAAAGGTGAGTACGAGAGTTCAAAAGTGGATTTGAGAGTGAAGGTGAGTACAAGTCTGTAAAGATGAGTACGAGTGTGTGAGTGCATACAAGTGTGTGAGTACGTACCAGTGTGCGAGTGTGTGCATATGTGAGATCGTGAACCTAACATGCCACCCCTACTTGAAAAGACTCCGCGTCCATGTTGAGAAATAAAAAGGAAGGGGAAAATTGCAAATAGATCGAATATAAAGAAGTTTATGGGACAACAAAAGAGAAAGAGCGAGAACAATTAGCCGTAATAAGAGGGAGGGAGCGAGAGAGGGAGCAAAAGAGAGGGAGAGAGAGCGAGAGAGAGAGAGAGAGAGACATAAAGAGAGAGAGAGAGAGAGACATAAAGAGAGAGAAAGAGAGAGAGAGAGAGAGGGAGTAAACATTGTAAGTGATGTCCAAGATGTCGATTGGCAAAATCTTGCAGCGCGGTTTGCGGGAAAAAGTCAGGGAAGGAAAGCTGCAAAACAGGCCCGCACAAGAAGAACGGCAAGGACAACAGAAAACGACAAGGAAACGACAAGGATCCTGGAAACCAACAACTTCCAAAGCCCATGTTAACACACTCCACATGATCACGCATATAACAAACACAGGCATAATGGTAGACAACAAAGGTACAGGCGAGCGCATGGCGTGGCGAAATCCGTCGAACTGTGGCTGTATACTTGAAACAAAAACAGGAATATCAGTAGGCATTAAACAGTAAGGAAACAGGCGAACGCATGGCGAGGCGAAATCCGTCGATCCGCTAGAAAGCGACATCAAAGAAATATTCCTTAAATAGACAACTCACATTAAATTGAAGTGCGAGACAGGGTATTGTACGTGTGTGCAGGCGCAGAAAGAAGTGTTGGTGTAGGCGCAGCAAGTGGTGTGCGTGTGGCAGGTCCTATTTGCGTCAAACATTTCCAAAGGCGATTTCGATGGACTGGGCAAGGTCGATGGCGAAGGGGACTCTCAAATTAAGCCAGCGGTGCAACCTGCACTAGTCGATATTTGCAATACTTGTTACAATGCTGGCACCGCTGTGACTGGCAACACTCCTGCATTCCACCCAGAGAACCAACCTGGTATCCACTTACCTTAGGGATCCACTCCAGTGCACGGATCTGATTTATTTCATATTGCAACAGTTTTGCCCGATCGGCAATAAATCCAAATAGTTATTAGTGCTAATAGTGAAATCTGTGTTCGTTTTCTGGACTTGAAAGTTGTTGCATCGCATTTCTGAGGGTATCACCCCACGTTGTACATAATACAAGTAAAAATAAAACGGTTACGGCATGAACAATGACGGTCGGTTTTTGCTGTACAAATACCTAAAACGGTAAAGGGCTAAAAAATACGACGTAACATTTGTAGATGCGTGAACACTCGTATTGTACGCCAACATCGTCGATGGCAGGAGAACGTCCCAATTCGAATTGGCCTCATCAACAATTTTTTTTTTAAATATTCTGGATCGTTCTATTCGCTCTCTCAAAAACACCATCGCCCTGCGGATGATACGGAGTCGTTCGTGATTTATCGATGTCAAGACGTAAGCATAGCACACGAAACAATAGTGATTCAAACTGCTTAGCCTGGTCAGTGTGAATGCGCTCAGGTAAACCATGGCGAGACACAAACTCTTTCACAAAACATTGAGCGACAGTACATGCACAAATATCTGGCAATGGATATCATTCAGTCCATTTTGAAAAATGGTCAACCACGGGAAAATATGCATGTTTCGACGAGGAGATTGGCAGTGGGCCCATCAGATCCGTTGCAACCAGTTTAAGCGGTTTGGAAGAAGCCAAATGTTGCAAAGGTGCACGATCAACCGGATTCTTTTCTTTTTTTCGAACGCTGACAGTCGGTACACCTGCGACA